GTCCAGCTGGCCTGTGACAGTCTATGGCTGAATTGCTGATTCTCCAAATCAGCATCGAATCTTCAGATTTGGATTCGGCCGAATCAAATTGGGGACAGTGATCCGAATCACTGAATCGAATCACTGTCTCCGATTCGGATCAAATCCGAATCTGAATCGAATACATCCCATTTTGCACATCCCTACTGCTTTGCCCTAGCTCAGACTGCTATGGTCCTGGGCACACAAGTAAATGCTGCGTCCAGGATCACCTGACTCCTGCACAGTTTCTCACATTGCCTTAGTGGCATGTGTACATGCATCCACAGAGGAGGAATTTGTGTTGACAATGCTGTGAAAGAGCATTATCTTTGCAAGAGTGCTATATAAGTTAAAAGTATATTATAATAGGAAAGAGTTAAAGGACATGACTGTGTTATATATGAAAGGTAAGTCTTATATAATTCTTATAGCTAAAGCAAAAGCTACCAGCAGATGGTGTACAGTAGCAGCTGGAGATATTAAAGAGAGAAGGAACAATAGAGGCAAAAAAGGCTATATTTTTGTGTGAGAAAATGTAAAAAACTCCATATTGAACAACTAACTTGTTTCATGTTCTGCTCCTACTTCCTGAACTTCACTGAAAGCAAGAGATTGTCTCTCAGGTATTTGTTTTGTTTCAGGCTGGCTTGCTGTATTCACTAAGAGGAAAACATTTTTAAAAATGTAATGTGCTATTGTATATGATCTGTATTCTGTAACTGTATATGATCTTACAAATGCTGTGTTATTTTACAGGGATCATTCAATGTAAAATGGATTTGTAAAGAGATTATAATAAAATTAGCAAAAGTTAAAGGAAAAGGTGGGTAGTGGATCAAACGAAAAAGGACCTAAAAGCCAGTCAATTGACCCTTCCTTCTCAATGTGCATCTCCAAGTCTCACCTGTTAGTTCACAAGTTTTCTTACCCTGGAACAGTTTTTTTTCACACATCAGTGTGTAAGGATAGGACCTTTCTCCCCTTCACTTAGATCTATAGCCTTATAGGGAATTAATCCTTTCCTTGGATTTCTTCTCATGTTCATTTGCTTTCTACTTTCTCTCCTGTTACTGAGGATAGTTACCATAGAGACAGACAGTCCTACAGGGAGGCTAGCTCTGTCCTGGCCAGAAAGAATACTAGCAAAGGGGAAAAAATTGGAGGGCTTTGCAAGGTAGCTACTTATTCTCAGAACGTCTGAAAACATGCATTTCCCCCTTGTCATTTTAACTTCTCTTCACATTATTCAGTATATTGTACATGTTTTATTTCCCTAGACTTCATGGACCACATGTTTTGTTGCACTATTCAAAATCTATTTATCTGAGTATGGGAAAATTAATTTAAAAATCACCAGTAGCACTTCAGCCTGCTAAAAGATCATTTAGGTAATTAAGAAGGATATAATTTGATCATATCTTGGTATTTTCTCTCAAGTTCCCTATTCCCCTTCTCATATTAGACTTTGGATTTCTCCTCACCATGCTGACAGTTCTATCCTATTCCACCTAATTTGATCAAAAGTTCACAAAAGACTTTTGAAGACAAAAATGTTATCCTAAATTTCACAAACACTCATTTTATTAGGCACTCACTAAATAAATAATTGTGCACATTCATGGATGGATCTAGGATTTTGAAAAAGGGGTTGCAGATGGTGTGGCACATCATTACATAAAATACAACACATTTTTCTTCAATTAAAAAGAAACTAGATGCTTTACTAAGCATTATGTTATTTAGTTTAAGATTAAAGCAAAAAGAAATAACTACTGAACTGTACACGAATTTTTTAGATTATATATACGTTTAAAAACCACAGGAAGCTAGGCAAAAAGTAGTCAAAAGTTACTGCATCATTAGTACTGTCATCATAGTTCAATGTGCACCTCTTATTCAGATTCATAAAACAAAATCTAGCCTTCTTGAATATCTTGGCAGTGCCTCGAATACTTCACCATCAGTCATTTCTATACCTGAGTTAATATTACCATATTTGAGTTAAGTTTTCTATCAAGAGCTAAAAACAGTCCACAAGGCTGTGAAATAGGAGACAGATGTTACCAGGAATGGCTAACAGACAGCAAAATTGAGAAGAAAGGATAGTTCGAATAGTGGAACATCCAGACCCTTAAAAATGCAGGTCATTGTAACAGGGCCCAGCCCTATTGCTATGGAGGAACCTGAACGGCCCCACATCCTGAAAGCATTCTTCCACACCCACCCCAGAGCTGCAGGGACTCACTAGAGGCTGAGGATCTAGGTCTAGGGATGCAGCAAGCCTCTCAGCAAAGGAGCTAAACGAGGTATGGGGAATGAAGGAAAGCCAGCCATGTGAACCAACGGGGATGGGGGAATAAAAGATGCTGAAAGCAGGCTCTGTGGTGGCTTTACTGGCAGAGAGCAAAGCTGCCTGGAGCCTGGGGTTAGCTGAGCTCAAGCAGCCACATGGAGGGGCTGTGAATAAAGCCTTCTCTTTTGTTTGCTTATTCACTTGTACAAGCCCTGCAGGTCCTCAAAGCCTCAGAAAGATAAGACGCTATGGGCAAGTGAAGCCTGGGAAAAGCCTAGCAAGCTGGAGGCATGAAACCAGTGAAAAGCTAAGTGGGTTTATTTGTTTAACTTTGTTTCTTTTGCATCCCTTATAAGCCCAGGGTGGTGGTGGTGCTATGGACTTAATTTAGCTGTAGGAGAGGGGAGAACCCTGAACAATGGGTCCTTAGGTAAAGGCAGCAGCAAAAGTAAAAGTGGTCAGCATGGGGTGCCTGACCAAACATGCCTAGTTCAGCTCTGCACAAACCTACCCATAACAGTGTGGAGTGGAGACAGATTAGCATGTGTGGAGTGGAGAGAGATTAGTTTGGATCTGAGAGATGACAATGTGACATAAAGTTAACTGACTCAACTTTGCCTGAATAGAAATGTTGCTGCCTCTCCCAACAGCTGGTTTTAAAGTTTGGATGGAACAAGAATTAAAGGTGGGGGGTGTGACTGCACCACTGCACCCCTTGGATCCACCCCTGTACATGTTTACCAAATGAATGTTCTACCTAGGAATAATGGATAATGGAAATGGGTTTCTTGTTTTTTTCAAAATGGAAAGTCTGTGACAATAACATACTTTTTATGTTAAATAATGACACATTCACAATCTTCAGTTCTAAAATTTACTCTTTAAGGCAAATAACAGGCATTCAAAAAGCCTGAATTGATTCAATATTTACAGGTTAGTGTAAAATGCGTAGATTGAACCAAGAAGCAAGTGAATAAACATTCATTTTTGATTCCGGAAATGCAGCCACATGCCTGCAGTGGCTCAGGCTAGAAGCTGGGGGGTACTAGACCAAGCTTTCCTTCTGGTAATGGCCAGAAGGCTGGAGGGAACCTGAGCTGAGGGATGGGGGGAGTTGTGGTCAGGCCCCGGTAAGCCTCTGAGTATGACTGGGGAGGGGTTTAAACCCCCACCCTGGCCTGCATGGTCACAGTGGGGGTGTGCCTGGAGGGGGAAGAGGGAAGCAGCCCTTGCCAGGTTTGTCCCTGAGAGGCGGGGGGCAAGGCCAGACACCAGCCTGGGCAGTGCCTCAGGTGAAAGGGGGGTGGGGGAAGACAGAGGGATTAAACTCCCCTGCCTCCCTTCTCCCGCTGGCATGGGATGCCAAAAGGGGTCTGCCTGGCTTTCTGTCCCACCCTCCCCCGCTGGCTATTCAGGCGGTGGAGGGTATGGCCAGATGGCTCAGGCAGCTCCTCAGGCAAAGGCAGGGGAGGGAAGGGGATTAAAGCCCCCTGCCTCACCCCCCTCACCCACTGGCACAGGTCCCCAGCTGGGGTCTGCCTGGCTTTCCCCCCACTGGCCATTTAAGTGGCGGGGGGCGTGGCCAGAGCCAGCCTGGGCCTCCTTCCCCTCCCTTTGCCTGAAGCACTACCTGGGCCAGCTTACTGCCTGGTGCCACACCTCCCGCCGCTCAAGTGGCCAGCAGAGGGGCCAATAGCCAGCCAGAAGACCCTGGCTGGGGTCCCACGCAAGTGCGAGAAGGGAGGCAGGGGGGTTTAATCCCCCGTCCCCATCCCCTGCCTTCACTTGACACACTGCCCATGACAGGTCTGGAATGCCTCCAGCCACTTGAGCAGCCAGAAGGGGAGAAAGTCAGGCAGACCGTAGCTGGGGTCCAGTGCTGGTGGGAGAGGGGAGGCAGGGGGGATTAAACCCCCTTCTCTCCCTTATCCCGCCCTCCCTGGCCTGGATGTGGCCACACCCCTGCTCTCTCCTGCAGCAGGAAGCGGGGTTGGGGTGGGGGGCAGAAGGGTGGCAGCCCCCACCCATGCAGACCTGGGCTGGGGTCTTGTGTGCTATGGAGGGATTTTAAACACCCCTCCCTCCCCTCCAACTGAGCCTGCTGGCCCATGGCCCTGTCCGCTCCACTCTAGTGGGGAAAAGTCTGGTTGCTCCACCCCTGCCAGGCAGACCGGACTGTATTCCCAGTCAGGTTTCCCACCCCCACCCCCTTGTCAGCCAGCTCTTGATGCTCTGGCTAGAGAGCAGAGGGGCAGAGCCAACCCTGCTCTGCTCAATCAGACAGCAGAGCACAGCCCAGCTCAGGGCTGCAAAGCATCCTGGGATGCTGGAGGACTGCGATTTAATTTGAACCAGGAAGGGGTCTGGGACAGAAGTTCTATAAAATGGTTTGACCTAAATCTGTTAAGTCTGATAGTACATTCAATCAGGTTTATCTTAAACCAGTTTTGGCCATTTTGAAACTGGTTTATGTGCACTGAACTTCTGTTCCATTACAGGTTTAAAACAGTTTCTCATTACTTAAACTGGTTTATGTGTTACTTCTGTCCCTAGTTTAAGAGATTAATAATATACTATTAATTATATCTGTGTGTGTCCGGGCATGTACTTGACTGTGACTATTTATGTTTAACCTTGAACTGAAAAGAAAAAACAAACAAGGAAATAAATGTTACACAAATCTAACCTTTAGGTTTAGGTTCTAGGAATTCCTCAGAAGCAGTCAGTTGTACCTCACTTATTTGTTCTGTTTCATGCAGGAGCTGCTCCTCCTGTTCCTCAATATCTGAGGGCACAAATATAACAATTAATAACTTACACATACCCTACCTGTGTATGAAATAGGAGTGCCTATAGAAGTATCACATTTTTGTGACCTGGTGCTAAGGCTGTACTTGACCAACAGCAAGCAGGGACTTAAGTTCCTGCTTAGATATTATATAACTTACAGATAGAAGAAACAAAAGCAGATCTGAGGACTGATGAACCAGTCAGACTGATGAACCTTTTCTCCCACCCTTCCCCACTCAGCCTCTGCTTACTCTTAGCTTTGCTCCATACTGGCAGGCTTCATCCCTGTTCTAGTCTTGGGCACTGAGCACAGCCCCAGCTCAGCCCATGTAGCAGCTGTATGGGTTGCATGCCACTGATATGGGACTGGGCTGGGGTTGTGCTTAGTGCCCCAGGCTGCTGCATGAACACAGTGAAACAAAGGTAAGTGTGGGAGAGAGAGGGGTCGGTGGGGGAGCAGAGGCTATGGCGGGGAGGAGGGGCAGCAGCTGTAGGGGAGCGGGGGGAGATGTTGGGGTCCAGAGGTGGCAGGGTGGGGAGGGGGCAGCAGCTGTGGTAGGGACTGAAGTCTGAGCAACATTAGATACCTGTTCCACCCACTGCCCCATATTTGATTCTAAGACAAGGGTTTTTTTCCCCATTTAACATGGGGGGAAAACCCCTCATCTTAGAATCAAGTACAGGGACAGTGGGTGGAACAGGTGCATTTCAGCACACTAAATGATTCTGCTGTAGGACAGTACTTGTCCTAGGCAGTACCATCCTATGGTGGATTTAATTAATTTACTGTGCGCTAATACGGGCACACATGTAGACAGTGACACTTTACTGCAAAGCTAATGTCAACTCTGCAGTAAAGCACGTGTAGATGAATCCAGAACATATCAAATTCTTTTAGAGATGCCGATGGCCACAGTAATTAAAAGATGTCATAATCTACTAAGAGAAACAACTGATTAGCTTGGAAAAGGCTAGTGGTCAGTGTAGCAGCTCCCTCCACATTTAATTCACTGATTGAGAGAAAACCTAGTATAAGTCCATTGACTTCAGTGGATATACAACTAAAATTCATGTGCCCCACTAAGCTTATAGAAATTGCAATTATTCAAGAGCGCACTTAATCACATGAGAAAAGGGTATCTCTATCCTTTCACAGTGTTCCCAGGAGGGCTGGTCTTACATCTCCCTTTCCATATATACCAATCCCAGAAATGAGGCAATTACAGTGCTTAAGGGCACCCCACCCCTAAGGTCTCACTCTCTGTTGTGCTCAAGAAGTGAAGTGCACCTGCAGGGGGCTTCATGTGCATGAGTAGTGTGAATGGGTAGGAAGGGCATGCTTGAGAGCTATGCTCTGGGGAGTGCTATGGAAATGATCTAGACATTAGAGCCGTGTGAAGCTACGGTTGGTGATTTGATTCAGAGGAGATTCGCCCTGATTCAGTGGCTGAACCTCTGAATCTGAATCGAATCAGGGGACCAATTTAAAGCTCCAAATTGATTCAAAACTCTCCGAATGTTCAGAAAACATTTGGAGAGCTTTGATGATTTGGACAGTCCCCAGTGGCTGCAGCAGGGAGCTGCAGCTGACTCCGAGCTGGTAAGTACTAGGGGGATACTTTAAAAAGAATCCCTGGCTCACTGGGTGCTGCTGGGCAGGGGGGTCAATCCACACTGCCTCCTACTGACCCACGCTGCATGGAGGGCTCTGCACGAGCCCCCCGACCCCTCTCTTGCTCCCCCAGCCCCCCCCACGGCTGCTCCATCTGGGCCAGCTCTAGCCCTGTAAGAAAAAAAAGCCGAGAAAAGCCCCAAGACTCACTGCTCCTGCAGCGACTTTGGGGCTTTGGGGGCTTGTGCAGAGCTCCCCACATGGTGTGGGGCAGTGGGGGGCAGTGGGGATCGGCCTCTGCCACCAGGAACGGTGAGTCTGGGGATTTTTGGTTCTTTTTTTTTTTTAAAGGGCCGGAGCTGGCCTGTGTGGGGCACCCGTGGGGAGCTGGGGGAGCAAGGGGGAGAGTTGGGGGGCTTATGCAGAGCTCCCCATGCAGCATGGGGCAGTGGGGATCACCCCCCTGCCAGGCAGTACCCGCTGAGTCGCGACTTTTTTTTCCCCCAAGTGCCGGGAGCTGGGGCAGGCGGAGCAGCCATTGCTGGAGCTGGGAGAGCAGGCGGGGGATGTGCCTGCCTGATTTGGAGATTCAGAGATTTGGCTGCTACTGAATCTCTGAATCAGATTAGGCTGAATCAAATCGGGACAGTAATTTAAATCACTGAATCAAATCACTGTCCCCCGAATTGGCTGAATCTGAATCAGAAGCGAATACTAGTCACTTTACACAGGCCTACTAGACATGACCTGATAGCATTACGACAGAGTTCTACACTCTTTTCTTGACAAAGTTTAAAGTTATCACTTCTAGATCATGGCTGGTATTAAACAATAAACTCTGTACATTCATTTTCCTCTATCAAAACATGTCACATGGGAGCAGGGCTGCAGTCAATGTGCCTGAGACCCATACAAATAAAATTAAACAGATGTCATACAAAAAGCAGCATGACTGAAGTGTTTTGGTGAGTCAGTATTTGATTATAGAAATCAAATGTAAACATGGAAAAACATGATTTTTCTTTGAGTAAGGACTTATCACATGTTTATAACACAAGTGTGTGTAGGATACTATTAATTCTACCATGAATAACTGCTGTTTTGATGTATTCAGATTCAAAATGAGTTGGACCACCATACCCAAGATCAGCTTTATTGTTTGAGGGAGACAATACAGAATCTTGTAATATCCCTTTACATTTAACATTTCAGAATTATTTCACAATTAGAGGAAAAATATTTGGTTTATAAAAACTTTGCAGTGAAGTTAGGGGAGATAATTTTTAAGTTAGTGTGGATTTTACCAAGCTGTACAAGACAAAAAAGTCTGCTAAAGAATGAACATCAGAAAGAGAAAGATGCTACCTAATCAAGAATAGAAACAATTAGTGAATCCTATTATCTGGTTGACACTACTACTATATTTATGAGCTAGCTCTTTTTTACTTATAGTTATATTGTAGGCAACTGTTGATTCTCTTGCTCACAGAGTATGCTAAAGTGGTCTAGTCAGGTGCTTGATGAATCTGCTTGTACTGAGTCCTGTAACCACCATACCAAGACCTTTGATGCATATGCCTCGGCAAGAGTATGGAGGTGTAGAGGCTGCCCAAGAGCCCCCTCCCCTTTAGACCATTGAGTCAGAATCTAAAGGCCAGAGTGAGTACAGATGTTCAGTGCCTTGATGGCTGTAGCTTCTGCCAGAGCACAACAGATAAGAACTGCTGCTGTCTGTCTAATGCCTCAGTGAGGGTATGTTTTTGCTAGGGTGATGTCCCTTAGGCTTTCTTCAACCAAGGAGCACCCACAAGGCAGTGGGGACTAGGCTTTTGAGGAACCTTATACTCATCTTACTCTGGAGGTTGCAGCATTGTGGAATTTAATAGGAAGTTCCCCCCACAAGTAGCCGCACTGTAGCCAATGGGTTAAAAAAATATGTAACTAATCAATAGGTTAATAGAGGGTATGAATGTGGTATGTATGACTAACAAAGAAGAAGCAGATAACACAAAGAAAACAAACAAGGATAAAAGAAGAAGTTGCAGCGTCAGCAACCAGAAGCCTCCTGTTGAAGGCCAGATGTCTGTGCAACATCTTTGACAAGAAGACCAGATCCAACTGGTGAGATAAGGGGGAGCTTGTTACGTGCCAACTAAACAGTGCATGCCTGAAGAAGAAGCATCCAGAAATCTTGCCCAGCAATATAAACTGTATAAAAGGGGGTGAGAGAGAGAATAACATGAGGAAGAACCTGCCTCACCACCAGAGCCCGTGCCTGTGCATGCCAGGTCGGATAGCCCCACTCCATCAATGGATAGGGACTGGTCATCCCTATCTGCAACACCCTTGGGATTAATTATGTAAGTGTGTCATCTGCAAGAATGTATGTATGTATGTATGTGTAAGTATGTGTATGGTAGGGTAATGCAATTTCTAATAAGCTAATTGTCTCTAATAAATGTATAACTCCCTGGTACCCTTAGCAATAAACAATCCCACTAATAAAAACTTGGTCTTAGTGAATTTTTGGGTAACAGCACCACGTTGCCACCAGGCCTTCCAGTCAGATGCAGTTTACAGTCATACCCAGGACCATTATGGTTATAACAAACAAAATAAATGCCAGATTATGTAATAAAAGACTGGCTATTATGATGGATGTTGACATTACGAAACCCAAATTGGACTATAAGTCAGAACATCAGTCACACTAGTCTGGTATCTCCCCTCTGACAGTTTCAAGCATAAGTTTTTGGCCCTTCTATTATAGGGTTCACTCCCTGAAATTTCTCAGTGGTAGAGAGAATCCTGTAGCTCCAGTTTTAGGCACTGTATCATAAACCTGTGTTGGCCTTCTAAAAATCTTGCTCCCCTAAAATTAGTTTCTTGCTCCTAAAAAACTATATTCCTTGTCCTGAAAAACTCCTTAGTATTTAGCATAGTTTCTAAACATTTTGTTCACATTTAGATCCAGGACACTCTTCTCAGAGTCATTAGCCAGGCTGTAGGAAATAGAGAACCCAGTATCAAAATCTCTTTATCCAAAAAGAAACAAAATAAAACGGTCTTTAAAATGAAATGTTTTGCTAATCTGATTAAACACATAGGGCATATCCAGATGAGCACACATGTGCCTGTTGCCCCACCTCAAACCCCTTTGAGGTGGGGCAACAGGCATGTGCGGGAATGAAAAAATGTTCCCTGCACTGCAAGTTTGCAGCGTGGGGAGAAAATTAGACCCCCTGGATATCCAGGGGTCTAAAAAACCCACTCTGCAATAGAGCAGAGCAAGGCACGGTTCAAGACCGTGCCTGGAGCCAGTCCTCCAAAAGAGACGTTCTGGTTTGGAGGATGTGGAGGGGGTTTGGAGAGTAGTGGTGTGGGGGGAGATGTCCCTGGGGCTGTTGGGGAGGTGAGGACCTGGCCCAGATCCCTGAGGCTCGCTAGTCTGGCTTTGCACTGGAGCGGGTTGCACGGCTCCGGGAGGCGCGCACAGGAGCCATGCCTCCCGGAGTCCTGTGACTTGCTCCGGTGCAAGGCTGGACTAGTGAGCCACACGGGGCTGGGCCAGGTCCTCACCCCCCTGCAGGCACAGGGGGCAGAGGTGGGAGCCCTGGGGCCTGGCCCATGCTGACAGGAGCCAGCGTGGCATGCGGTTCTTGCGTGCCACGGTGGGTCCTGCCACGGCCATGCCCTTCTTACAGCTGCAGGACCTGGCCCAGCGCATGGCGACCGCGCAGAGCCGAGCCGGGTCCTGCTGGCCCCGGGGCTGCTTGTGCCGCCTGACAGCCGGGTGGCATGAGCAGCTCCAAGGCCGGCAGGACCTGGCTCAGTTCCGTGTGGTCTCTGCGCGCCGGACGGGGGAACACGAGCAGCCTGGGGCCAGCAGGACTCAGCTCAGCTCCGCACAGTCCCCGCATGCCAGGCTGGGCTGGGGATCATGAGCCGCTCAGGGACCATGCAGCTCGTGCTGCCTGGCCCGGCCCGGCGCATGGGGACCATGCGGAGCCGAGCTGTGTCCTGCCCGCCCCCGGCAGCTCGTGTTTCCTGGCCCG